CCAGCAACAGCAGCCGACGACCACCAGCCGGCCACCCATCTTTTCTCCTCCTTCTCTCTTTTTCGGTTCGGTATTATTATAAAAAAACAAATAAAAATATAAAAAACTCTTTCTTTCTCCTAATTTAATTCTAGTAGTTTCATTATTTTAAAGCTTGATTTTTTATTATGTTTTGGTACTGGTTTTGGGTATTTGATGTTGTTAAGTTATTCCTATAATTTTCAGATTTTAATTTAATCAATAACCCCAATTTACAAACCCTGGAATTTGGGTTTAATGTTTTTGGTTATGGTTTACATTAGTAAGGTCTAAAGAGTATTATAATTGCTAGAAATTTGTGAGAATAGTGGATTAATTATAATTATGTACTCTTATTTGTAGGAAGCTTTGAGCTAGGTGATTTCTAGCGAGTGTGACCAAGTTTAGGCACTATTTAAGGTACGTATGTGCACAAGAATATTTGTGTATGCGTAGTATCATGCTAGGATTGTAAACTATGATTAAGTGATGAAATAGTAGCATTTTTGGTTGATTATATGCTTGAAATTGTTGTTGGTTGAGCATGAATTATTATATATGCAGGCATGTGAATATGTTATTTGGGCATGATACAAGTTGAATATATGTGAATCATGGAAGTATGTTTCATTTTCAAGTATCAAGAAAGCATGAATTTAATAAGCAAGACTTATGTATGTTTAAAAGAGCTAAAGTTAGAATTATTGAGCATGATTTATGAATTTATTTCTCACCCATTTATAATTGGTGTTGAGTCAAGAAGTTAGTTTATTTAATTATTCACTCATGTAAGTTGAGTTTGAGTCAAGGAAGGTTAGTAGTGCATCTTATGCACCAAGGTAATAATCGTACAATTTTGTGCACAAAACTAGGCAAGGAACCTTAATTAAAATAAATAGATGTGCTCACTAATTAATTCAAGAATAAATTGGAAGTATGAGATGAATGTTGCTATACTGCAATCTGCTCTGCTCTACTCTGCTGACTCCTGCTCTGCTCAGAAGCTCAAAAGAATAGGGCCTTAGTTACATTGGTTACCAAAGTCCTACACTAAAAAAAAAATTAATAAATTGAAACCCCATTTAACTTCTCATTATTCAAACGAATCAAATTAAATCCTTCTTTAAAGTCCATTCACTCCTCCCTTAATTTGCTTCATTTCACTCCAATAAATTACCATGTAGATTGTCAAAATATAATAAAGTAACCCAATTTATTAGGAGGGAATTTGTGAATTTCGAAATGCTTTTAGGATTGTGGCGTGGCGTGGGGTTGATTGTGTTAAGTGGTCGAAATCTTCCCAACTTTAGTCCCATTGCAATCACATTGTGGGTTAATGAAGAAACTCTAAGTCACAAGGTTAACTAGGAGAAAAACAACGAGAATAAGACATGGTTGAGCCGTTGAGAGCTTTGAAGAAGATAGTACAACAATGTTGAATAGCAACTTAATTATAGTGTAACTTGAAAACTTTTTATTTATTTATTTATTTATTTTAACCTTTTTAGTGTAGGATTTGGGTCTAATATAACTAAGTAAATTAACGGAACTACTTAACTTCATGTTAACGGCAAGGACATGGTGTGTTAAAAAATTGTAGCTGACAGGTACCATGTGTAATATGGAAAAACAGTGGGCACAAGTACAACTTAGATAAGTCAGTAGAAAAACCCTTTTTATTTGTTAAAAAAAAAAAATTAACCATGGTTAATGAATTTAATTAAGATAGTTATTATCTTTGGTAATCAATAATAAATTTTACGAAAGATAATAAGTTTTTTCACAATTTACAGTGTTACCAAAGAGAATTTCCCTTTTTTTATTTTTTTTTAGGGAATATATTACTTCTCGAATTGAAATAAGGCAATTAGCCATTTTGTTAAAAAAAAACATAAATAAAGTAAAATATATTTCTTCCAATTTTTCACATGCAAGAGTTGCAACAACTTGACTTATGCGTTATTTACATACTCTATTTTCATGAGTTTTGATGATTATATTTAATGAATAAAAGAGTCATATGAGATCTTGTTAGATTCATCTTGATGTATGCTTTTAATATCAATTTTTTTTTTTTTTTTTTTATAATTATTACATATAGGTAATTAAAGATATCAGTGCTTGAAAAAATGCATTGGGGTACACATGAAATGAAAAGTGTTGCAAATAATTAGAGGGAGTATGTATAATTTTTATTTTTTTTTGAAGAAAGGAGTATATATAATTTTAACATATTGATAATAGCGAGTAGGGATGGCAATGGATCGGATTCGGATTGGGTGGAGCTTCATCCGCATCCATCCATTATTCCAATTGCTCCATCCACACCCATCCGTCATCCGCTTCAACCATCATCCATATCCGTTCGTCCATCATCCGTGGATGAAACGGGTGGAGCGGATGACTAATGGATGAACATTTAAAGTAAAAAAAAAATCCACATAAACTCTAATATTCGGTTATTTATACAAATTTTTTTTATTTTATTAAAAAAAAAGAAACAATAACAACATATTGTTTGAAAAAATTAATTTGCAACAAAAAAAAAAAGAAAGTAAATTTCATGCACAATTTTCATATTTTATTTTTAAAATTTTCAGAGAAAGAATTTAATATATGTTTAATGGGTGGTGGATGGTTAGCGAGTGAAGAATAGTATCATCTACATCCGATCTGACCCATCATCCGCTTCATTCGTCACCCGCTTCTTATCCATTTATTTCGGGTTTTCATCCATTTATTTAAAGCAGGTGGAGTGGATTAACGAATATCCATTTAATATTGCCATCCCTAATAACGACATATTTTGAGGGTGGGATTCATTAACCTTTTCCAATAACAATAATCACTTTGGTATTTAAATTAAAAATGGATTCCACATTGATATTCTTTCAATCATACATACATACATTCATACATACATGATGTGCTACAGGCAATTTTGTTGCATAGTGAAGTGAAAAAAAAAAAAAGTAATACTTTTTTTTTCTCCAATTACCTAAACGGTTTATGCATATTGCTCATTTTGTATCCTTTTTCTTTTTTTCACTTTGTACCCATATTTTTCATTGGTTTATTTACACTACAATTTATTATTATATTTAATGAATTACAAATAAAATTCACAAAATTGCATTACCATTGTCAAAAGCTTTGTACATAGGGAGTGGATCCATATCATATAATAAAATGGAAAAAGAGTTAGAAAAAAAAGGTGTGATATTTAATTTAAAAGATAGAGAGTATAAAGTGTACTTGATCTTTAAAATGCCAAATCCGACAGATACTTTTTGAAATCTTTTAATGGTCAACAAATCACATTTTTAAGGTAACATGCCAGATTGCCAACTAATAATTTACATGTACATTAAATAAGACACCTTTATACATCAATTTTATTTTCCCTTAAAAACTATCAAATTTATTTGCAATATGCAATTGCAATTGACAATTTGATAGATTTTTTATCACACAAATCACTTAAGTTGGTCATTTTCTGTATAATATCAAGATCTTGCCGATAGCTTCCATGATGTTCATACCTCTCAAAACTTAATTGTTAAATGTAAGTATACATCTCAAACCTCACTTCTTCTTTTGTTAGAATTAAATCATGAATTCTTATATGTTCATTGTTCTTTAATTTTAACATTGATAAATTTAACTTTTTGTGCACTAGTGGCCATGTTTTCCAATTAGGGTTTTGTGTGTGTTTTAAATAGCTCCACATAGGGATTTTCAGTGATTTTTAAACCTGGGAAATCAAGATCAGTCGGACTTTGAATTAGCGGGCCGAATTTAGGGATAATATTAGGGTCAATCCCAAGGCCCAAAATGATTCTTTCTTTTTATCTACAAGTTGAATGTCACTTGCTGTTAAATATTATAATTCAATTACCAATGTTTTTTTTATTTTTTTTATCTCGCATGATTCCATAATAATGCTATTAAGTGAACAATATTAGACCTAATCAAAGGTAGCCTAGCCCAATGTGAAAAAATGCCAAGTTTGGGTAGAAATGTTGGCCCAAATTTTGGGCCGAACCCTTTTGGTTTTAGGCAAAAAAATCCATTTTTAGTTAACATTTTTGGATCGGTCCAATTTTGGCCCGAAATAGTTGGTCTAGCCACGGTTTTCAGCCCGAAGTTATGCTCGACCTATTAAAAAAATCGACAATCACCTCTAATCATGATATGCTATGCTCGAACTTACAAAATCTAGGCTAGCAATATGGCTAAGTAAAACTATCTGGAGAATGCTAATATGGATTTTCAATTTGTGTGCATCATTATCCATTATGAAATAATTATTCATATATTTAAATCCAGGTTGCGTTGTAGTGACTGAGAATCATATAAATATGAGTTATCATGTCACAATCAAAAGATTTTACCAGTTAAGCTGGCGAGCATACACAACATTCAGGGGACGACACACCTACATTAATGGTAAAGTATACTTGGCAATATTTTTGTATCTAAATTGCTGTCTATGATGACTTTTAGCAAGTTGAGTTACAATATTTATAATGGGGATATTAGAAGTGTGTAATGTTGGAGATATGTATGAAGTTACCTATTCAACTTAGAAAGGATGAATGCATGTTATGTACATTAGATCGATCTACATTTTTCTTGTAACTTTTTGCTTTTATACCATGCCCACATTAATAGATTAACTTAGTGTGAAGATTGATTAAACCTTTTTAATCCTACTATAGAACACATAAAAGCAAAAGTATGTACATATTTATAACAAATCATGCTATACATATAACTTCATGAGTATGAAAGAACACTTGAAAAGATATAAATACATATAATACTCTTTGTTAAAAAAAAAAGTAAACTATGAAGTTGTATGTAAATCAAAAAGTACAAAGTATATGCTAGATAATTTTATTTTTTTTAAGAAAAATGTTAGGATTGGAAACGAGGGAATTTCTAATGCATCAGAGGAAATAATAGAGTACAAAAATGAGGAAGTACAAAGAGTAATGTCCATGTTATCATTAACAATATGATTTACATTTGCGATCCAATCAGTTGCCCTGTTTACTTCTCTGTAAACGTGGATAGTTTCCCATTGCTGAAACCTTTGTAAACAGTTTGTATTGGGGTTAGCTTTGTCATATTAATTTTTTTTTTGCCCAAAACCCACAACTTCCACAGTCCCACAAGGTGAAAGGGCTGAAGTGCTGAACCTCGTAAAACCCCAATTCATTGTTGTTCGTTGTTCCTCCAAAACCCTGACCTTGTTGAGAGTATATCTGTTGAGGTGGTTGTAGCCAAATCAAGTTGATTGATTGTAGAGAGTATCTGCTCGGATTCGGAAAGAAATCAAAGCAATTTTGATGGTAGAGTATCTTTCCAGCTAAATCCCAATTGTAAATTTCCAGCACCCATTATCATTTCCCTTACATTCATTCTTCATCTTTCCTTCAAATTTTCTGGGGTTTAATTATTTGCAGAGATGGCAACCGCCAAAACAAGTAATGATAATAGTGTGAATCAACAATTCCTTGAACAACTCAAGGATGTTGGGAATAGGCTTTTGTTGGCCCCTTGTTCCTCCCCCGAACTCTTATCCTTACTCGATGTAAGACCACGCCCCTCTTTTTTTTATTTCTTCAATTCAATTCAATTGCTTCTTTTAGTTTACTGAATTCCCCATTGCTTTGTTTGAGATCATTACTATTAACATCGCCATTCCATTCGCGGTATCATCTCATGGAGAGAATACTTTCAGGGTTTGCTTGCTCTAATCTATCTCCTAGTTTAGTAAACAAACTGATATTGGCTTACTCAATCCCATAGGAATTGGTGCTACTCTTGTCCAAGGTTGGCCAAGCCCCATCCCAGCCTGTACAGGACGCTCTACTGCCAACAATGAAGGCTTTAATTTCGGACCACCTCTTCAGGAATTCTGATGCTGATGTCATCATTACAGTTGCTGCTTGTCTCAATGAAATCTTGCGGATTTCCGCTCCTGTTGCTCCGTATGATGATGACAAAATGAAAGTAGGGAACCCCATCTGTATTTCACTTCTGCTATTTTCGATCCTATGTGTGTTTTTCTCTTATGCGCTGCATTCCTCTTCCTTCAGGAAATTTTCGAGCTCATTGTCCTATCATTTGACAAGTTATCCTGTCCGCCAGGCCGCTCTTATTCTAAGGCCATTCTGATTCTTGAAAGTGTAGCCAGGCTCCGATCATGTGTAATGATGCTGGACCTTGATTGTGATTCACTCATCACTAAGATGTTTCAACTGTTCCAGAAACACAGCTGGTGAAACTCTTACCCCTATTTTCCCCTCCTTATGTTGCTGTCACATTGAAGCCAATCTATTTATGATATTCTTTTGAATCTTGTACAAGGTTCTATCATATGTTATTTGTTTCTCCCGAGACTGGATTATCATATAATCATGATTGTAGGTCAAATAAGTTCTGGTGTACTCCAGCAATTTTATTAATTGTAGGAAAGCAACTTAAATGTCAATTTGATTCTTCACTTGATCTCAACCATGTACCATAATGCAAGTCTTAGAGCTTTGGTGAACTACATCAATTTGTGGCTTTTTATTTGATTGCTTTCCCACTATATAAGGAATCTAATCAACCCTGAATTTTATCTACTTTCTGATTGGTAACTCCTAAACCCTGTGAAAAAAGTTAATCAGTTATGGTTCTTGGTAACTTAATATTTGAATAGGATTCTTTATTGTTAGGTTATGAGAATTGTTGAACGATAGTTTTCAGAAACAGCCTCATGATAACACTTATGCATCAGACCTCCCAACACATGCCTTAGCTCGAAGCCTATGTGCTACACTTTTGGAGATTAGCTGAGGAAAGAGTTAGAGGTTATCAAATTAAATTGGAATCAGATTGCGTAGTATATATATCTGTTTATAACTTCATTTTGCATTATCTTTGCTTCATCATTACCATCTGAGGAATACCTTTTTCACAAGTATTGTTTTTTTGAAACACAAACCTTGTGAATATAAAGTCCTGTTCTTGACATTTTTTATGAGAAAAGGAAAAAAAGAATCCAATCTAATTTGTGGTTACAAGATATAAAATGTAGTGTTATAATGTGTCTATTTTTGAGAAATAAACCTCCTCATCCTTATGGACTTCCTCACCGTCTTTGCAAATATTGGATATATCTTTGTTGTTAATATCCAATTTAATTAGAGAAACGAGTCTTTAAGCTAACTTTTAGCTCAATCACTGACCTAAACTGTTTTGATTTGATGAAATTCTAGCTCCAGTCATCCTCATTCCGTGTTCCTGGCTATGGAGAAAATCATGAATGTCATGATAAAAGAAAGTGATTCTCTTTCAGTGGAGCTTGTCAAGGTGTTGCTGGAAAGCATCAGATTGGAAAACCAAGTAGGTTTCACTTGTCTCCCCCCCCCCCCCCCTAAGTCTCATCTTTTTCTCGATTGCTGTGCTTCCATGTAATTCTCATGATTATTCCTTTGTCTCAGAATGCTTTACCTGAATCCTTTAAAATGGGAGCTAAAGTTATTGAAGAATGTTCAGAGAAGCTCAAACCATATATCCGGGAAGCAGTAACATTATTGGGCTACTGCCTTCAGGATTATGCTCCCATTCTTTCTTCAATTTGTGAGACTGAGCCAATTGAGGATCTTGTTCGTAATTCTGCAAAGCATTCGGTATCCTGTTTACTCTGTAGACATTGTATTATGAGTAACAGCAGGTTTATTTAAGGATTTTGTTGTTTTACGGTGAATAACTAGTAGATTAAGGTAGAATTAGTGGATCTGACCATTTTTTTACAGTTGAGGTTGACTGGTCCAAAAAGCAAACCCACTCATTTGGTGTTTAGCAGATTTTCTGTGTGGGCCTTCTGTTGTCACTCTATACAGGTCATATCATTAACTTGGGATTTAAGAGCCTAATATGGAAAATTACATTTTATTGAGCAGGTAAAAAGTGAGCTCACTATTGATGAGCGTCATTCTGCGGAATATGCCCAACCTTTGAAGGCAGTAGAACGTTGCAGTCAGAATCCAGGAACAGATTCAGAAACTGCATCCGAAAGGGGAGGAAAGCTCAGTTCCCATAGTCTCGACGAAGGGTATGAGAGTTTGACTGGCAGAGGGAAAACGTCTCAGGGTCACGTGAAACGAAGTTCAGGAGCACCAAGAAGTAAAAAAGCAGTTCCCGCAATGGAGGACGAACTTTCCGAAAGGGAGATAAAACAAGCTGCTGATCTTGACATTAAGAAGGTTCTTCAGGCAACTACTCTTGGTGGTAGCAGTGATAAGAAGGGGAAGCCATCAAAGAAGGATGTTTCTGGGGGATCTAGGAAGAAGGTACTAACTATTACAGTAACTAAGTTCTATTCATCTTGCATTAAACTCTTCAAAATTGAAGTTGACGATTGAATTTGATCATCTCTATAGAGCACAACAGGCTTATCAAGAAAGGATAAGATCCAGACAAATGATGCCTTTAGATCTCAGAGGAAGAGGGCCTCCTCAGATGACGATGTATGTACTCGTTCAATTAGAAGTTAGTCCTGTTTATTTAACAAAATACTGTTTGTGATAAAAAGTCCTTGTGAATGTGAATCCTAGTTTGTGCAAGGTTGCATTGCATCATTGACTTGTCATTTTGTCTGCATATACTGTAGGAGGTATTTCTGCGAGGTAGATGTAGGAAGTATTTCTGTGATGTAGTTGTTTGTGTTGCACTGAGATATCCAAACTTATTTATGAATCTGAATAAACCATATAGACTGAGCTTTGTAAAATGAGAACCTCTAAGTTGATTCCTTTACCTTTCTAAGGCATAGAATAGACTGTAATTGAGAGTTTCGTACCCTTATGCCTCTCCGCTGTTCTTTCCAGACTCCTGCTTTCCACATTTCTTTATTGAAAATCCCATGTCATGCCGTCTTTATCATGTTATAATGTCTTAGTTATGAGCATCTTGACAGGTGCATATCCAGCCGTCCGACTCATCTTCTTTTCTGAAAATAATTCATGGTACTTTAAGCTTAAGTTGAAGTGTCCATATTCCATACACAATAACTACACGTTGTAGCATCGAGTATCAGAGGACTAGTTTATAAGGTGAAATGTACAGTTCATCTATTATTGCCTTCTGCTTTATCAAAGTTTGAAGGACAGTGGTGGAGTAAAATCCATCTTCTTGTAGTAGAGACATAAGGCATTCAATCTACTGGCTTGCTAGATGCACATACAGCAGTGTAGCACAGTGCTTGACAATTTTGTTGCTTTCAAATGTGATTTAATTGTTTAAGTGTTAATTGAAGCAGTTTTCAATATATATTCCAATATGATTTATAATAAGAAAATCTCATTTGGAACTTTTTGGTTATTCCAATTTTCATATAGTTGATAGTTGTTATTGCTTTAGTCTCTTACTGCTCTAGAACTGTTAAACTGATTTAATTTTGTTGACTGTATGATATAAGAGCAATGTGTGAAGCTGTACAATTTGGCTTCCGTGGAAGCATGTCTTCAATAGTTAAGGCCTGAAGGGTTAATCTTGTCACAGTTCTTGCTTTTAAATGATTATATATTAAATTACCACCACAGAAGTTTATTAATATCTCAGATAATGACTTAATAATGTTTTTCTCTTGCGTTGTTTCTGATATTCAAAGTTCCAATTAAATTATTAATCACCTCATTGTAACTTTTCATCTCTCGGTCAGTTGATACATTATCCTTGCTTCTAATCTTTGAAGCATAATGATATGTTTTGTTTAGTTCTTCTGGTTTAGAGCCTGAATCTTTGGTGTATTAATTATTGCTTACACCATTTGATGGGTTTGTTTGCTAACAAGTCCCAATCAAGATTTTGAATGCTGATGTCATATTGCTTCTTATATTTCACTCGCTCAAATATAATTTAAGGTTATTGAGACTCCGCATGGAAGAAAAAATTATAAAGAGGATTTGGTTGGCTGTAGAATCAAGGTGTGGTGGCCTCTCGACCGCAGGTAATCACTTTAATGCTTCATATGTTTGATTCCGTAATTGATTTTTTATTTTTTATTTTTTTTTAAGTTTTACTCCAAGCTCATCCTTTCCTTCATCGTCATTTGGATTGTTTGACATGCAAATGAAGAATAGAAAATGAGAACTTTGGCCTTCCAAAATAGACTTGGAGTTGAACTGGATAAGAATTAGGAGAAATATAGCAACATACTACCTCCGGTTCGCTTACTCGCAACATTTACTAAAAACAAATGGTTCACATTACTCGCAACAAATTGTTTTCTTTCCTTTTTTAGTAAGTTTTTTGCTGCAAAATGACGAAATTACCCTTACCTTTTATTTTTTATTTTTAAAAACAACCTTATTAAACTACAAATCTGATTTCATTAGATTAAATCCCAAGGTTAATTAATTTCTCCCTCATCCCCATTATTTTTCTCTCTCCTCCTTCAACCCCGTTCTCATGGTGGGTTCATGGGTTCAGATCGGTGAAGTCGTTGGTGGTAGTTTTCAGATTGTGGGTTTGTCGGTGGTTTCAGATCGTGGGTGGTAGGATCACATCGTGGGGTTCGTCGGTGGTAGGTTGATGGGTTCACATCGGTGGGTTCGTGGGTGGTAGGTTCAGATCGGTGGGTTCGTGGTTGGTGGCTTGTGGGTAGGGGTTTTTAGATCCGGGTACTCGGGTTTTCGAGTGGGTACCCAGGGCCCATGCCCCGACTTGAGAAAATCGGGTACCCGGGTTTCGGGTACCCGAATTTCTCGGGTCGGGTCACAGGGTACCTGAATTTTTATGACTATAATTTATTTGCTCCCCAAAAGGTGAAAAGTGATAAACAATCTAGATCTACTACCCAAACTTCACACAATTAGAATAATTACAGTACAACCAAGATAAAAACTAACCAATCACACAAAGTTTTGTTTCAAAAATAATAAAAAAAATTGTAATATACAAAGAATTAGAAAAAATTAAAAATATAATTAGAAATTGAATGGGCATCAAGGAACTGGAACGTATACATACGAATAAATAAATAAATCTATAAACAAAAAAATAAGAGCATTGGTAGTTGCCTATTTGAAACTGTTGCAAGTCTTGCAACATAGGTTCGGTTGATTAGAGCCTTAGAAGTGGAGTAGCAATACTTAGAGGTGGAGTAGCAACACCGGCGACAGAGTTAGGCGAAGTAGCAGCGACCACCGGCGACGGAGTTAGGCGAAGCAGCAGCGACCCAGAGACAAAGGTGGGCAAAGCAGCAGTAACGACAGAGGAGTTGGCGATTGCAGATCGATAGTGAGGGAATGAGAAATGCGGTGGAGAAGAGGCTTTGAGAGTTTAAGGAATAGAAAGTAGGAAGAACTGAATGGAACTGATGCTTGAGGCGTGAGGATGAACTGAGTGAGGAATTGATGAACTGAGTGAAGAAGAGAGAGAGAAGAAGGCGGTGGGCGGTGGCTGCATTGCCTACATATATTTGAGGGAGTGAGAAAAATAAAAATCCTACGTGGGCTATTGGGCTGGGTTGGCTTGAGGGAGTGAGGATTTTTTTTATTCTGTCATGATTTTATATATTAACGGGTACCCGAGAGAACAAAATTGCGACCCATAAAATGGCTATGTTGCCCGAAAAAATCAGAAAATCTAGCCAATTACCCATCGTGTTTTTTGTGGGTAGTCGGGTCGGTTTTTTTTTAACACCCCTACTTGTGGGTGGTTTATTCCAGATGTGTGGGTTTCGTGGGTTTGGTGGGTTCGGTGGGTTGCTGTGGCTCGTGGGTTTGGTGAGTTGCTGTGGCTTGTGGGTTCGGTGGGTTGCTGCAGCTTGTGGGTTCGTGGGTGCGGTGGGTCAACAGGGTTCGGTTCGGTGCTGCGGCTGGGTGGTGGTGCTGGGTTGTTTTGGTGCTGCTGGGTGGTGGTGGTGGGTGGTTTCGGTGCTGCTGGGTGGTGCTAGTGGTGGTGGGTTATTTAGTTTAATTTTGGTTGAATTTGTTTTTTTTTTTTTTTGGGTTGGATTAATATTTAAGTATATGCCCTTATTTTTCACTAACTATGCTTAAGATTTTTTGCCTAGGAGTCTGCAAAACTACTCTTTGTTGCGAGTAATGCAACTGGAGGTAGTATTTTTTTTTATTTCCATCACCAGATTCTCATTAGAAATTGGAATGCTTTGGATTATCAACCTTTTTTTCCCTGTTGGTTATGTCACTGGCTATTATTGAATTGCTGCAAGGCTAGAGTTTGGAGGATGATGAATAATAATAGTAGCATAAAATAACCTGTCCTCACTTTTCTTTTCTATTCTGAATTAGGAGCATGCTCTTGCTCCCTCTCTCTCTCTCTGAATAGTTTTAGTATCCAAAGGTGGTCAGCGATAAGATTTGCTTCTATCCACTGTCATGGTAGTACTTGTTGATGAAGATTAAAAAATTGCTGCCTTGGTTATGCAAGCTTGAGGCTTCCGAGCTCATTGATGCCTAGCGGTGTGCCTTATGACAAGTAGATGCTTTTCCTGGCTTCCTGCATTAGACTAAACGAAAGACAAGAAAAACAAACCAGATATTTTTGTTCAACTGGTTAAAGCTTAGCCAAAGATCTAACAGGACTTGTCCAATTTGATAAAGTTGAATTTCAACCATCTTAGCTGTAGCCATCTGCTACCCATTCACTGTCCAATTCGGTTAATTAATATATTTTGTTGGTGCATTCATCTGATGAGGAATCCCTTTGTTCATAAATATTCCAGTTGCTCTAACCATAGAGTTCTATTTTGCAGTTATTATGAAGGCACTATCTCATCATTTGACGCTTTTACAAAAAAGCACAAGGTGAGGTGTTTCCTAGAGTACTTGCATGTCAGTTTGGCTGCTATTTTTTTTTTTTTTACTCTTATGCTACAGCATTGTCTAGCTCACTGCTATTTTTAATCATGGTCATCATTTTACATTTTGCAGATTGCTTTTAAACATCTTTTTTTTACCATGAGCATCATGATACTTTGGCTCACTAATGATGTAGTCTTATTTGACTTGTATACAGGTTGAGTATGATGATGGAGATGAGGAGGTTTTAAATCTGAGAACTGAACAATGGGAATTCTTAGGCGATGAAATTCCAACTGCTATCGTAGGTGTTCTCCCCCCTTCCCTTTGGCGTCTCTCTATATCATTACAAATCATTGTTCTAAAGTCCTGACAATAATTAATTTGTTACCCAGGATATATTTGTTGACAAGAAATCTCCTCAACCACGCTCAAATACGTAAGCATTCCTTCTGACTGCTGAGTAGTTAAAAGCTTTCCATTCCGACTATTCTGTATCACTTTGGTGCACTGTAATTAAGCATACATGATGCTTATCTTGTAGCATAGATTGACTGCATAGTTTCACTCGTAAGTGTCTTATGAGCTTAGTAAAACACGAAGCTATTGAATCATAGTTGTTCGGGGTTATGTCATGTAATTTGCTGCATGTTAGACTTATGTTTATAATTTCAATCTAGTAACCTAGATAATTATTCTTCCGTTTAGTATATATTATTCGCCTGTATATGATGCAATCAGGCCAAAACGAGAAGGGTCAACAGTGTGTGAGAAGGAAACCTCTCAGACCAACACTAGGAAGAGGGAGATAACGCCTGACTGTGAGGCTGAAGCTGATGATGGAAGCCATCAAGTTGCCAAGGTTGTGGAGAAAGTGAAGACGCCGGAGGTTTTGAGTGAGATGAAAAGACCAAGATTACCGGATGGACAGAAGTCATGACTATATTTTTGTTGTTCATATCTTCTTCCTGCTGTGAATTAGTGGAGGAATTTAAGGTAGATTCATAAGACAACAATTTTGTACCAGATTGCTGTTGGTGCACCTTTTATATCTAGATTGTTACTTAGAGGAGGTTGGAAGCCATGTAATATATATGGTGTAATGATTGTAAGCTAGAGAATGTTCCAGGGGTTTGGTAAGGATTAGATGGATTATTACCTGAGTATGTTCAGGTTTTGAAGGGCAACTGTAATTAATTTATCAGCCCAAAGGCTCAATTTTGTACACATCAAACTACTCCGTAGTAGATATAAAATATCTCGTTATTTCCAGGATTGATTGTTTTTGTGGTTCCTTGTCCATGTTCTTGGTTTCCATTCCTATTTGTTTTTATGATCCTGAACTCCAAGGATTCAGTTGGTGGAAGACTTATGCAAAGAACAGGTAATGATTTATAGAAAAATGTTTTATAGAAAATTCGTCAAAATGCTCTTTTTTATTTATTTATTTATTTATAATCATATCCTACTTTAGTTTAATTCAATTCATTTACATGCACGGGAGAGCAAAGATACTTTCTCATCCAACTTATGAGCAAGACACACTCGGTCAATAGTTTGACATGCTAATACATGCTTTCTCCGTTTTATATTAGATGACACGTTTTATTTAAGCACATTTTCCAATGCATACCTTATAATGCAAATATCCTTGATTATATATTAGCAAAAATTATAAAAACTAGATATTTTAAAAAAACGTGTTGAGACAAATTTAACAAGACCCTACATGACTATATTTTTTCTCATCACGAAATCACAAAACAAAGTCAAAACAAGTTATGTGAATAGTGCACCAAGCCAAACCGTGTCATCTAATTTGGAACGGAGGAAGTAATTAATTAACAACATTTTTTTTTGACAGGAAATTAATTAACAACATTTAAAAAAAAAGGGCAACCATACATAATCTAACAAGTTATTCCAAATAATAAGACTGAAAAAAATGTGGAATCTCAAGGATTTTTTACGAAACTAAGCCTTATTAGTAAACTATTTACGAATATAGACGCGTGGCCAAACTATTTACGAAACTGAGCTTCTGAGGTAAATCGCTGCCTCGGTCAGCGTTTTTTCTCATTTTTATTTATTTAATTTGTTTTGAATTATGTATTTTGTGAAATACAAAATAAAAAATAAAAAAAACTGAAATACACAAAAACGCTGCCTCAGTCAGCGCTTTTGTGTTAGGCTATAACAGGCCTTAAAACGCTGACTGAGGCTGCGTTTCATTAATACTAGAAACACGCTGCCTCAGTCAGCGGTTTTGTCTGGTATATTCTTCTAGGCAGACGCAACGCCTTCACTCTTCCTCAAAACTAAAAACTCAAACTCACTCTTCCTCACGCAACGCATTCACTCTTCCTCAAAGCTCTGCCGTCGCCGCCGCTGCCGCCGCCGCCTGCTGCCTGCCACCGTCGCCGCCGCCTACTGCCTGCTGCCGCCGCGCCTCTCCTCTTCTTTATAATCACATTTTTGGTACTTCTCACTTATTTGTTTTTAAAATTTTAAAACCTAGGTTAGTTTGATAATTATATAGTACATTGTTTTAATTTGATAATGTTGTTGATTATTCTAAGTTGATGTAAATTGATAATTATGTTGATAATTCTAAGTTAGTTTGTTGTAATTTGATAATAGTTTAGTATAAAAGCCCTAAATTGATGTTAGTTTAGTAAGAAAGTTTATGATGAAATTGTGGAAATGTTTGGTAAAAATGTTGAAAATGTTGATGAAATTGTTGATATTGTTGATGAAATTGTTGTTTTAATTTGATAAAATAGCCTACATTGTCGTTTAATTACGAAAATTATGTTATGTAGAATACGTTGGTTGTTAGTGTGAATATGTTCGTTGTGTACTTTGTTTTGGTTGTTATGTGAATTGGAACAATGATGGTTAATTATGTTTGTAGTGTGAATTTCTTGGTTGTTATTGTGCGAATTGGTGGAGATTGCATGCAATTAAGATGGGCGGTCCCCAAGCTGACATATGCGCATGCGGCGAGGGGCCTGCCGTACTATCGAGACGCCCTTGATCGTCTGACCGAGGATCAGGTGAAATCTTTAATTTGTTTATGAAATTGTTATTTATTATGTATACTCTTAACATATTTAATATGCACTAACCTGTTTATTATGTTACTTTTTATGTGTTATCGCAGATGACATGGGACCCGTATGAAGCTGATTTAGTTGCTGCCATGCCTCCACATCTGCTAGATCATCAGGCGCAGTGGCGTTCTAGGGTCCCCCTGATCTGTTTTGAGGTCGTCGAGGGTCACCTACCAGATCGAGTCATGCGACAGTTTGGACTACGACAGACTGTCCCCCAGCAGTGTGACACTAGTGCCCGGCTGCACCGCATTGACCGTCGGGGAAAGAGCGACAGGAACTGGCAAACGGAGCATGCCCAGTACATTGACTTGTGGCATCGACGGTTGGAGTTCGTCGTCATTGGTGACCCCATCCACGGCGTTATGGATCCATACGATCCATACATGGAGTGGTACATGCGGATTACACGACGTTTCATCAACCCCAGCTACACACCGCCATCCGACATTACCATCCATCCTTTGACGTGATCAGGGGATATGTAAGTGTATTTGATTAACTTATTTTTATCAATTTTAAATTTGTATATCATTCAACTAACTCATCCTTAATTACTGCAGGCGTTGGATATGACGGCGATGGTTGACGCACTGTCGGACGTCCTTCCAGACATACCTGAGCCGCCCAGAGCACAGGTCGAGCGGGTGCGAGATATGGGCATGGCTACCTTGCAGAGATATGGTCACGCCTATCTCGTCCACCCCCGGGACGATCATGGCGGCCACTCTAGTCACTCACAGTTCGAGGCTGGCCAGAGTAGCTGTGGGGGTGATCCTTCGTCATTCACGGGCGCAGAGGAGTACGACATTCGCAGTTCCGCGCCCCTACGTCATCCTGATGACCCATCTTCTAGCCAGCTGACTCCGCCAGTACGCCCCGAACCCATTTACCACGGTCCGTCACTACAACCGTCGTCAAAGGCCGAGAGTGGACATAGAGGATAGAGAGCCGTTACACCAAATTGATGAGTCAGAATAGGATAGAATTATCTGATTTATTTGTTGTAATGACCTTCTCTAGTTTGTTGTACATAACACTTACATTACATTATTATTTTAATAATTATTTGAATGAATTTATGTCTTGTTTGAATTTCAAATTCCTTATTTGTCCACGTTTGACTCATTTCGTTCAAAATAAATTGTGGATGTGGAGGTGGTGGATGTGGAGGAGGATGGGTGGTGGAGGTGGTGGATGTGGAGGAGGAGGGTGGTGGAGGTGTTGGAGGATGTGGAGGAGGAGGGTGATGGTGGTGGTGGATGTGGAGGAGGAGGGTGGTGGTGGTGGTGGATGTGGAGGTGGAGGGTGGTGGATGTGGTGGATTTGGAGGAGGAGGGTGATGGATATGGAGGAGGAGGGTGGTGGTGGTGGTGGTGGATGTGGAGGAGGAGGGTGATGGTGTTGGTGGATGTGGAGAGGGTGGTGGATGTGGAAGGGGGCTGCACTGGCTGCTGTTGGGGGCCTGCTGTTGCTGCCTTCAGCCAGCAGATAAAACGCTGACTGAGGCAGCGTTTTATGCTTAGGTGTAAAACGCTGACTCAGTCAGCGTTTTTCTCTGTTATGGATACAAGAAAAACGCTGACTGAGTCAGCGTTTTACTGTATTTCCAATTTTTTTTTTTTTAAATTTGTATTTCACATAATACGAAATTTTATTAAAAAAAATAATAACCAAAGGTAAAACGCTGACCGAGGCAGCGTTTTATGTCAGAAGCTCAGTTTCGTAAATAGTTTGGCCACGCGTCTAGATTGGTAAATTGTTTGCCAATTAAGCTTACTTTCGTAAAAAATCCGAATCTCAACCCATATAAGTCATACACGATAATGAGTCATTCAATGAGTCTACAAAATTGTTACCAAAATCATTGCAAATAGACTAAGAGTCTTTCTACCTCATAGAATTTTCCCCAATCAAAATAGCTTTCTTTCAGGTAGAGGTACGGAGACTAACGTCATTGTGGTTAATGAAATTTTGCATTCCATGAGAAGTAGAAAGGTAAGAGAGGTTGGTTCATCTTGAAGCTTGACGTAGAAAAAGCGTATGATAAGTTGGAGTGGAGCTTTGTGAGAAGCTCTCTTTGTTCTTTCGGTCTAGATCTTGAGTCCACTTATATGATTATGTCTTGCATTTCCTCTGTATCTTCCTCCGTTTTGGTGAATGGCATCCCTTCTTCGGTCATTACCCCTCTCGGGGGATAAGGCAAGGAGACCCTATCTCCCCTTACCTCTTTATTATTTGCATGGAATTTCTATCCCAAATGATTCATAAGGCTGGAGGAGATAAAGTCTGGACCCCCTTTCGGGTGGGTAGGAGAGAGGTCCCTATTTCTCACCTCTTATTCGCAGATGACATTCTACTTTTTGGTGAAACCTCCCTGGAAAACATCCTTTCTCTAAAAGATATCTTGAGCTAATTTTGTGATGTGTTTGGGCAAACGGTGAGTGCAATCAAAAGTAAGGTCCTTTTTGCTAGAAATACTTCCCCTGATGACAAAAATCATTTCTGCAACTCTTTGGGTTTTAAGGAAACGGGTGACCTGAGTCCCTATCTTGGCTTCCCACTTTCAAGTTCCAGACCTTCCAAAGCCAAAGTTCAGTTCATTTCTCAAAAAAATCTCAGAAAACTAGAGTCTTGGAAGTCCTCTCTGTTAACAAGGGCTGGTAGGTTATGTCTTATCTCTTCCACTCTTAATACCCTCCCTAACTATTACATGCAATGCCTTTTATTGCCTGAATCCCTCTTGAATCATTTGAACAGTGTCATGGCTAAGTTTCTTTGGGGTAAAGGTGACAATCAGAGAGGTATTCATTTAGTGGGTTGGGATAAGGTAGCAAAACCTAAGGATAAAGGGGGGCTGGGTTTAAGATGCGCTAAGGCTCTTAACAAAGTGCACATGCTGCTAGATTTCTCAAAGATAAATATTCTAAACCCAACAACTTCTTTCGGTCCTTCTCTTATGGTTCTCATCTTTGGAAGAGTATGGGTAAGGTTTGAGATCTTTTTAAGAGTCATATCCAGTGGGGAGTTAGGGATGGGGTAGATATTTTTCTTTGGAATGATAAATGGAGTGGGAGTAACACCATTAGAAGTATGATTCAAGGTTCTTTACAGAGAGGAGAGGAGGATATTATGGTTGACCCGTGCATTGTGGATTCAAAGTGGAAGTTCTCCAATCTGTCCTTTGTTCTTCCTGATAATATTCTCAATCACTGTTTGAGTATCCCTATCCAGATTCTTGAGCATGATTGTCATGATTTATCTTCTCAGATTTTACTTCTAAAGGCAAATTTGATTTTAAAAAGGCAATGCTTTTATTTAAGGATAAATATGATTTGAATAGGGACTTAGGGTTGGATCTGGAAAATTAACACAACTCCAAAAATAAATTTTTTTATCTGGTTATACTTTATGGACAGATTACCTCATAAGGTTACTCTTGCAAGAAGAAACATCATTCCCTCTGATAAGTGTGCTTGCTGTCCAAACTCCCCTGAGACCTCAATTTATATTCTCAAGGACTACACACAAGCGAAAGAAATCTGGGATCTATGTTTAGTTTCCTCTGATTTTTTCTCTCCCCAAAAATCCAAGATTGGCTGGTCACCAACCTCACCCTCAAACCCCCTTCTACCCCAAACACTAGCAAACCCTTTTCTCCTTTGTTATTTGGAAACTTTGGCTTAGGAGAAATGAGGGAACTTTCTGCCAATCTCAACAACCCATTGAAAAATCCTACTTGGAAGCTCAAGCTTTAGCTTGGGAATTTCACACCTCCAAGCAGAATTCGTTGGGTTCCTCTCTCTCTACCGCTCCTCTTTCTCATTTGATACCTCCCCCTGATCTATGACTAAAATTGAATAGTGATACTTCCTTCACAAATGCTTCTCAAGCTGCAGCCATTGCTGGTATTTTTCGAGATGAATAGGAAAATTGGATTCTTGATTTTCAACAAAAATGTCGACTAAGACCAGCTTTGATGGGTGAACTCAGAGCTATCCAACTGGGTCTGCAAAATGTAGCAGAGAAGGGCTGGACTAACATCGTGATAAGCTCGGATTCTAGCCAAGTTGTAGACCTTATTTCTCGCAATGAAAGTGTGAAAGATGCTAACCTTTTGATCATAAAAAATGCAGGTACCTTATAGAGAGTATGCAGGGAATTAAATTATGCTATGAAGGGAAATCTGCTAACAGGGTTGCTGATATTTTAGCTAAAAATTGTAGAAAAAGTGTCTCACAAGACTTTAATGTTCTTCATTTAAATCACCCTCCTGGGTGCATTGCTGATGTAATTGTGGAGGATAAACCTCCCTAACCTTGCTTTTTAGTCTATTGGATTTTCCTAGCTTGCATAAAATAAAATAAAAAATAAAAAAAAAACCAAGTAATACACATGTGTTCTTTACTATTTCTGTCATTGACTTCATCAAATCAATTAAATCTGATATTTATATACAACTATACAAATATTATTTTTCAAGACTAAGACCAAATTAAATCAAGGACTTGTAAATATGAATTAGTCCTTGCATAATCAAAACTAATTTTTTTTTTTTTTGACACAGCATAATTAAAACTATAATAACGCACTAAGTGTGGTAGTATTATTATCTAATATCTAGCGGCGTTCAATTCGTTGACATGTATGCTAACTAACAAATCAGTTACCTTCTTGACCTTTTTAGCCACACCATTTTGGTTGGACCTTCGAAGCACATGCCCTTTATTTTCTGCGGACCTAACTCTACGTCTTTGTACTTCTCCACTTTCTTTCTTTTGCCATTCAACAACAACAACAATAATAATTATATAATTGTCAGTATGAATTATTCTTCCCCAAGTAAATTCAAAGTATTAGAGAATACCGTCCTAACTTCTTGAATTCTTGTGTGTATATATATTTTTTTTTAAAAAAAACGTGCACAAACTCTTAATAGTTATTACTTAATAATAAGATGGAGTATAGAGTATTAATTTATCACAAGACCAAGCTATAATGTATTAATGATATAACTAGTGAGTAGCCCACGTTGCCCCGGATTACTACTTTTATAGTTGTGCAATTGCTAATTTATAAGAGCATTTAATAGTTTGTATGTAGTATGTGGCTTCAATACTTTGTAGTATAATATTATTTTATTGTGCAATGTTAAAGCGTAATTAACAATTAGCCTAGATGGTTATATACAATAACTTTTCTTCTAAGAGGTTAAGTGTTTGAACTTTCTCATCCATGTATTTTTTCCAATATAGTTGAGACAACATGGAGTATTGTTGGTTGTGTGGATGACGTGGCATATTAAGGAGTTGAGTAAGTGACGTGGCAAAATAGCGCATAAATGTTTTTAGAAACGCCTTTTAATATATTAGTATAGATATGTGTTTTTTTATGGGATATTATAGATCTAATTAGTTATAATTGATTAGCGTCACATTTATAAGACTTTATAAAGAAATTAAATAAATGAGAATATAAACGAGATCGAGCTGTAGTTCTGAATATTCTTTTCAAACTCATTATCCAATCTATCTACAAAGTCGTTATCCAATTTGACCGTCTTCGTTTTTGGAATTCTCAGACGTAATTATTTAGCGAAGTAACACATTATACGGTTAACAATAACTTAATTATAGAGGACGGCAATGCAACACCTAAAAGAGCAAAATCTAATCTAAGTAATAGAATCCTGTAAAAGACAGCACATATATAGAAGAGTAGCTTTTCAAAGAATACTCGTACTAAAAAATTACTCCATCTACTTTAAGTTACTTGCAATATTTTGACATTTTTACATTTTCATGTATTACTTTGATGTTATTTTGATGTTTATTTCATATTATAATAAAAGAGATCAATGATCATTATTATTATGTTGAGTTCACTTTTACAACATATAATAATACATACGGTAATACTACTTTACTCCCTAAATTTAATTTACATAATTACTATTCATATGGTCATTATATTATTATTACACTTTTGGTAACAAACTAATTAGGCAAAACAAAGGTTAAATTATTTTCAATCAATACCAATCATTAAGCAATGAGATATTTTCAAAATATTTAAGTACAAAAAAAAACGTCAACATTATTTTCCTTTGGAAATTAATAAAAATGCACACGGTATATTTTCGAACGTTGTTAAATGTATTGGTTGAAGTTGTTTTTGTATTAATTTTTGATGCACAATATTTACCGTACACAATAAATACTCATCGACTTTACTCTTGTTTCAATAAGCTCTAATTTGCAAAAGTAATTACGATCCGTGGCACATATATTTTCACCTTTTGCCTTCCAAAATAATCCTTACGTAAACAACAAAGTAACAGTTGATGATTGTAGCTTTCCCTTTCACTGAGCACATACTCAAAACCCTCTTTTTATCATCTCTCTTTGTTTTTCTTTAAATTTTAATTAAAATAAAAAAAAAATGTTGGGCTAAACTAACGTTGGTAGGTGGGAATAGTTGATCTGATAGTGCCTTTAAATAGAAACAGAATTCCTAATCAATTTCTTAGCTTTGAAAGCTTAATATTTCCCATAGCTTTGAAAGCATTCTCCTTCATTCCCTTTTACAGTTTTACGTGCCCAATAATAAGTACGAGTACATACACAACCCTTGAATTTTTATAAAGTAACCAACTTATATATTTGATAATTACATTAAAATAAAATGCCTTCTGACAACGCTGGTGCGGCCGCCACTGCTACCGGAAACGGGCAGACAGTCTGTGTGACGGGTGCTGGTGGGTTCATCGCCTCATGGATCGTTAAGCTCCTCCTTGAGAAAGGCTACACCGTCAAGGGGACCGTCAGAAATCCAGGTATATATATTATATTATATATTTATTTATGCATGCCTAACTATAAGTTGTATGAATGTTTGTATAATGAATCAAATTATTATTCTGTACTGATAATTACGCAGATGACCCAAAGAATGCACATTTAAGGGAACTGGAAGGAGCAAAGGAGAGGTTGATATTGTGTAAAGCAGATCTTCTTGATTACGAAGGACTCAAAGCTGCCATTTCTGGCTGTCATGGTGTTTTCCACACTGCTTCCCCTGTTACTGATGACCCTGTCAGTTTTCTTTTCTTTTAATTTATTTCTAACTATCTATACTACATTATACAGATCATAATAATAATACTTGTGCATGTTTTAATAAAAAAAAAACAATAGGAACAAATGGTGGAGCCAGCAGTGATCGGAACAAAGAATGTGATAACAGCAGCAGCAGATGCAAAGGTGAAGCGCGTTGTGTTCACTTCTTCAATCGGAGCTGTTTATATGGACCCTAATCGGACCCCCGATCAAGTGGTTGATGAGTCTTGTTGGAGTGACCTCGACTTTTGCAAGAACACCAAGGTACTTTTATTAATTGTACGGACTATATATGTACTAGTATTTCGTTACTCCATTATTGTCCATTCTAATGCTATTGATATTCATATTAATTATTACCGAGTATATCATTACATCAACATATATATACTCTACCTCAATCCGATCTTCATGCTTTATTTATTATCTTATTTACTTGTACAAAACAACCTTAATTAGCCACTTTATCTCTTTGTAACTAGCTAGATTTGATATATTATTTAAACCAGAGCATATACATATACATACTCTATATTTATAAGTTAGATAGTGATTTATCATTGTGTTTAGGTGTTGTCACTAAATTAAAGTAACTTAATTTTTCTACACATCGTGTCCTATACTTAGCCTGTGACCAGACAATAATATGTAGTCCGTAGGACCTTTCCTTAGTACGTGTAGTAGTTGCTACCTTTTTCTTCTTTTTGGAATGAAGAAAATTAATAAGAAGCTAAAACAGATGTGGTACTAATTAGACTTATTTGGGGTGGTTGATGAGATATGTCAAAGAATACGTATGGATGGTCTGCGATTAGGTAAATAACATTGTTACTTGTATTTGCATTATAATGATAGCATTTGCATGCTAGACCACTGACCACAACAATCAAAATTTGGTTGTTTCTTACTTTCTACAATCATGATCAGTCGTCCAATAATACAATTATGATGCTTTAATTTGTTACTTTTGAAAATGAGTGTAGAACTGGTATTGCTACGGGAAGGCAGTGGCGGAGCAGGCGGCATGGGAGGTGGCGAAGGAGAAAGGAGTAGAGCTGGTGGTGGTGTGCCCGGTGCTGGTATTGGGGCCACTGTTGCAATCAAGCGTAAATGCAAGCATAATACACATACTAAAATACCTGACAGGGTCAGCCAAGAAGTACGCAAATTCAGTACAAGCTTATGTACATGTAAGGGACGTGGCTTTGGCCCACATATTGGTGTATGAGACTCCTTCTGCCTCTGGAAGGTACCTTTGTGCTGAGAGTGTGCTTCATCGTGGGGATGTTTGTCATATTTTGGCCAAGTTTTTCCCCGAGTATCCTGTTCCTACCAAGTAACTACTCTATACTCCCTACCCTTTTCTTTTATCCTTATTATTAAGGAGTACTACATTTTGGACTTTTCAGCTTTCATAGCATTTTTTTATATTTTTTATTTAATAATTTAAAGTAAAATGATTCAAATATAAACTGTGTCTAAATAATATAATAAGATATTATGAGGGTGCAGCAGATGTACCTCCTTCCTTTAAGAAATAAACATAATTATGTGTTTTGGCTCCACCACTACCAAAAACTACAAGAAATAAACATATATTGTTCCATCTTTTAAGATCGATATGATGTGCCTAATCTTTCATTAATTTAACATCCTCAACAAAAAGAAAGAATGCCTTGAAGGTTCTTTTCTTTATAAAGTAATGGAAAAGGCAATCACATCCTTATCAAATCCTTCGTTGTGCAATTGCGTCCAGACATTCTTATGACAATAACAATCTATGTTGATCCAATTTTGAAACTTTTTCAACAATTTATGGTATATATTATTATAATATACCCTAAGTGGATGTAAGTTTAGCAATTTAATAATCACATATGATTCCTATGATATTTTTTTTCCACCGTGTTTTAATGACTATCATAAATCAAAATATAATGTACTCAAGACTTGTATGCTGGTCAAATTTTACAAAGTAATCCGTAGTATTTATTTGTCTACTAATAGTGAAATCACTCAACTTCATACACCTATATATAATATTCTCTCACAACATACATCAACAAGATACTAACAAACGGATCAGATTTTACCTACCATCCTTTTGATATGTCATGCTTTAGCAAAAATAACTTCCAATATTAGTGATTTAAAAAAAAAAAAAAAACATAAAAAACAAAAACACGCAACTGTAGTGTTGAGTTGGTGTGAAAGTGACATAAAAAGACCATATCTTCTTGAGGTCTGTTAGTTTCTAAGGTCTTGGTTATTAGGTGATTGTTTTGTTAATTTAGCTTTGATTTCTTATGTTAAATTCAATAATCATTTTGGTGAAGAAATCAATATTGAAAAACACCATATTTCATTAGTGAAAGTTGGTCCCACATTAAGCTATAAAACTCGTAATGTTAAATTATGGGTGGAAAAATGAGAAGCTCTAATAGCTCCTCACCTACTACGAAATTTGTTGTTATTATGCTTGGGTGCCCAACTACACTATCTCAGTTTTGATTTTGTTATTGGGGTTTGTAGGACCCCCACTAAAGAATATTGGGTGACTTTACAATTGAATTAAATGATGGGGCTTCCTATTCTAACTTTGGATCTTACAAGTGGGTTAAAGTAGCCCATATTTACACTCATCTTCAAAATCTTCTTCTTTTTGTTAGTTTCTGATTGCTTGTTGTAGTATTGTGTATTGTGTCAATTCTCAAACTTGTGGGTTACATTCAATGATTTTGCCCAAAAATAATGATATGATAACATATATAGATTTGAGTATTTGACCAACAAATAAAACTCTTACTTACCTTCTTTTGCTATGTATGGAGGCACATACTTACATGTTTTTTGATGCAAACATAATTACATCTTCTCGTGTCCCATTTATCATATTATCCGCATATTATGATACTAATATTTTTAACTAATAAAAAAAAATCTACGCATAATTTTTTTTTAAATTAGTAGAACAATATGAAATCAGAAAAGTTAAACTTTATGTCATACGAAGTATATTTGAATAGTATTGTAGAATAGATATTATGAAATGAAGAGTGTAATATCGTACTTGGTATTAAACATATGTGAAAGGGTTGAGGATTACTCCCAAGTCGGAACGCTATGAAGAATGATAGTATTAGTATTGCATGAGTTAATGTGGTGCTTGGTCTCGGTCAAACTTTATTGTCTCTAATCTCTATGGAGTTATCAATTCTCAAGTTGATCAAAACAATTTGCATATCCTTCACTATTGACGAAAATATGTTTGCTACTCCATTTATTTTTCCCCCCTAATAATTAATTAGTTGTCGTTCTTTTTCTCGATCTAGTGTTAAGTGTTTGACAATTTTAGTTTGATAACTATATAATTTTGTAACTAATAAAAAGTCTATATCAAAAAATAATGTAGGTGCTCAGATGAAGTGAACCCAAGAGCAGAACCATACAAGTTCACTAACCAGAAGCTCAAGGACTTGGGATTGGAGTTCACCCCTGTAAAGCAATGCTTATACGACACCGTTATGTGCCTCCAAGAAAAGGGTCACCTTCCTCTTCCTGTCCCTCCCCAGCAAGAGGAATCCATCCGTATGAAGTGAAATGAAATGAATATATTGTATGCTTGCCTTCTGATGAAAAACTTCTTACCAGTATGTTTTTGTGAAGAAGGGATTACATTGTTCAGATATTGTACTTATAATGGGGCTATGAAGATTCCTATGAACTAGACTATGCTTGTATTTTGAAGCATATCAATTTTAACAAAGTACAAATTCGCTTCCACTTAATAAAAAAAAACTAAAAATAAAAGAACAAAATGTGGACGAGGTATATACATAGTAGTAGTAATATGCAAAGAAAAACTATCAAAGCAAGATCTTAAATCGTGCAGAAAATTCATGTACTTGTAATATGTATGTTAAGATCCATCAATGTACTCTCAACTCTCCTAAAAGAGGCCAATCTTGATGTACATACAAGGCCAAATGTTTCATTACCAATATTATTCTAAATCTTACAGAAATCTTCCAAGGAGAGCTCCTAGCTATCTAGTATCCTCCCAGTAACACCTGACTTTCTCAGTATTCAAAACCACTTGACTGTTATGTTTGCACAAACTCTGCATACCCCTAACGGCTATTTCTTGATTATTAGCTGAAGAAAAAATAATATTCATGAACTTTCTCTAGTATATCGTCAAGAGCAAGCAAACATTCAACGATTTTGATCTACGAGGTTGCGAACAGTTTTTGACTCAAAACAACTCAGAGAAGTTCATGAATATTATTTTATTTTAGCAAATTCCAAAATTAAGACATGAATTACTCAATGTTGTCTAAATTGCTCCTCCTTTGAGGCAGTTGCATGTTAACTATGTCTTCACGAGGAATTTGTTGATCTTCACGCGTTGTTAGTGACAGAAGCTGGGTACTCTCCCTGTTTTTACGGAGGACAAGGTACGCAATTGCAGCCAAATATATCACTAGTCCCAAAAATCCGAGTATCCCACAAAATATGGCAGCTACTAGTTTTAATTTGCTGTGTATCAGTAGCTTGATAAAACTGCTTGCGATGAAGTAAATGTTAATGACCATGATCAAGGAGCCAATCACCCAGGTGACTGCGGAAAGCTGTACATAGATGGACAATTTAGAAACATCAGGACTCAGACAGAATTTCCATTCACCCAAAGTAATGTATATAATCTGGTCTGAATGTTTTTAGGTCGAATCTAATCTGTTCTAATTCTTAGCTCTTACATCAGAATTCACAAAAAAAAGATAAGAAACTTACCAGGAATGAGTTAGCATAGACACCCATCTTAGCCTTACTACTGGTGAATTTGAGAAGTGGAATGAGAGCAAATGGGAGTTCAAATGATAAGATCATCTGCAAATTCAAGTACGTGAGGTTTTAGCCGAGCATAAATGCTGTAGTATCAATGATTCTTTGAAACTCAATATAAACAACAAAGTTTAAGAGATGCTAATGTTCAATTATCCATGAAGATTGAGGTGGACCATTCCAAGATTCATATTGCCTACGAACAGGAGACAAACGCTAAAGACATTTGTGGCCTCCGTGTAGATTTAGCTGCCAAGGAGCCACTTATGAACAAGAAAATTTCCGTTTCTTATTCTTAGATACAATGCAGCAGGAACAGCAACAAGGTTTTCACTTTTCAGCCTAACACAACATTTTGATTCTGCATAATCAAAATGTCTAGCAAATGTCTTTCAAAAAAAAAAAAAAAAAAAGTCTAGCAAACTTTATCTTAGATGGAAGTCTTAAATATAGTCATGGATAAACAGATGAATAATATGCAAATTTACAAGAACCCTTAGCTTAAATATAGAAAATTAGGAAAGAGAATATATAAGAGCAGAGAATGTTGTTAGGAAAGTGGGTTATACCGAAGCAATAATGATCAACTGCCCAGCTCCTGCAGAACCACCAATTAGAGCAACGATCAAACTGGGGACTATAGCCAAGCATCTAGTCAACAAGTTCCTAAGCCATGGCTCCATTCGTAAATCAAGAAAACCCTACAAACAAGAAATTTGCAGAAAACATATTGTAGTACCAATCAAGATAATTTAACAACCAGGCTGGTGTAATGGGTAGGATGACAGACTAAAACCAGGATATTAAGCAGACAAAAAAAAAAAAAAAAAAAAGAAAAGGTTAATAGACCTGAACTGAACTAATTTGAAAGTATTAAGCCTGAACTGAACACTTTTCTACGCTTAATTTTTAGCTATGAAAATCTGTCCCTTAACTGAAATCATTTATGCTCAAGTCCAAACTTGTCTGAACGTGTGAATCTTGAACTGAACTAACCAGAAAATATCAGATCAGAAACTTTCTACAGTATAAAGTGCATGACCTTGATCAGAGGTATTGATCTAATCATGAGGAGTCAACTTTCTTCTGTTTTCTTGTTCTAACATAGGATATGTGAAATAACTGTCGATGCAATAAGCAGGTTTATTTTTATGCAGAGATCAGAAGGTATTGTACTATACATATTGATTTGAGAAATATCAACAAAAACAATGAAATTGGAGAGTATTTACCAATGAGCAAATAAATCAGAATGAACTGTACCTGCATGACATATTGGCCAGCATAAGTTCCAGTTATTGTGGAACTCTGACCAGATGCCAGCAATGCTATTGCAAAAAGTTTTGAGCTCCAGTTGCCCAAGACATTCTGTAAAAATTGAGCATATGCCACTCATTTGGTATACAACTACAAACCATATAGTATACTTCGTATAAACTAAGGATTCATAATACAGAGGAAGTTAGACTAAGAAAATGTACCTTAAGTAGAAAGGATGCTTCATTCAAGTCCAAGTCTTTGCAGCTCTTTTGATCTCCTTCGTTCAAATCTGAGGAACTGCAAACTGCACCACTGACAGCTATGACAGATACATTAATGAGGAACGCCACAGCGAGAGCAATTCCACTTTCTATCAGATAGAATCTACAAGCTTCCTGTGAACAAATAATTGCATAATGTAGTGTTCTTTATAATTAAGATATTTGAAACGTTATAACAGATAATAGTAAGAGCCACACAATCTGAAATCCAAAGCTACAAAGTTACCAAGGAAAAGGATCCTAATTAAAAACAAAAGACGCATAAAAAGTAACACAGAACATGAAGAGGCAGAAAGGAACCCTTTCAAATGACAACGCATAGTAGAGAGTAGACAGTAGACAACTGGGGGAAGGGAACAAAACTCTACTTATTGATATTTGTAAACTAAAAGTACCATATTCATCAGGTAAATTACCTTGATACCACTAGCAGAACGTGGTATTTTTCTGGAAAGTACTAATGCTGAATGGAGAAAGAGATTGTGTCTGAATCAAGAAATCAGTATCAGAGTCAGACACCTTTTGAATCAGGAACACAGTATTTGATCAGGAAAATTAATACAGTGGGGAGTTGGGGATATTTAACAGAGCTCAAGTTTGACTATGACTTAAACTTACGGCATAACCATAGCACCAAGTAAGGAAATGGCAAGGCCAGTTGCACCATCTCCTTTGAGTTGAGGAACAAAAAGCCCATGCAATACTTCTGAAGCCTGCGGTTTTGCATGTCCAAGCTCCACAAGAAAGCATGCAGCAATAGTAAGAACCAAAAAAGTAATCAAGAACTCAAGCTTGCGCACCTAAAAACGGTATAGATAAGAACCAATCAGATTATATAAGCAAGAATTACAATATGCTCCATAGCAACGAATACGGAGTATCTATTCACACACCCCATATTGCTGTAGTGCAAGTAGAACCAGAGTGCTAAGACCAGTCAGAAGAACACCAGCCCACACAGGAATTTTGAAAAGCATATTCAATGCAAATGCAGTTCCGATAACTGGAAGCAAAAAGTAAATTATTAAGAACTAGCCAAGAAACAATGTAATCAAAACAAGTACCACCTTGACAAGATACCGAATATTTACACACATCTCTTAGTCATTAATTAGGTAGTCTGCTGTAAAACATGTTAGTTACTCAGTTGCTTTATCAGATATTCATATTAAAGTCAAATGACATTCAAACCTTCAGGAATGTCGCAAGCTACTATTGCAATTTCAGCCAAAATCCATAAAATAAAATTTGGAACTTTTGAGTACTCAAATCTACAATGTTCTGCCAAATGCTTCCCTGAAAGTCAGTAGCTAAATGTTATGTAACAGGTATGGAAGGACCAAAATAGATGCATTGTTGGGTAAAAGGACATGCCTGTAACAACCCCAAGCTTAGCTGCCATAGACTGAATGATGAGGGCAGCACATGATGCCACCAATATAATCCAAAGTAACTAAAGCCATGTAAAATTCAGACGGATAACATTAGAAGAAGAAAAAAAAAGGCTTTTAAGATTAACATGTAAAGATAACAATACATACCTCGTACTTGTATTGAGCTCCAGACTGGAGATCAGTTTCAACTGTAAGTTAGTAGAATTAAACTGAGGAGGTTAGAACAGTAAGATCCTAGGAAAAAAAAAAAAAAAATAGAGAGGAGGTTTACTTAAGCCTTACAATTTCCAGGATCAATGTAAGCAATGGAGACTAGGAAGCCAGGACCCACATATGAAAAGAAGTTTTTCCAGCTTTTCTTCTGTGCAAAATGGAATGTTGATTGGCTTAGCATAGGTGAACTTAGAGTGATAGATATAAAGCAAATATGAATGAACGAGTAAAGTGCTTGTAATTTTACTTGCAGGATGGGAAAGTAGAAAGCTTCAATGTCGAAGGGGAAAAGATAATAAAAAATTGTACAAATCCATTGTTCTTCCTTAGAAAATTAATCAAGTTATTGACAAAATGAGTGGTTTTCCATAATCCAAACTTCTAAAATCAAGTAATAGTTCCTGCAGTTTTTAGCATGAGCATGACATGAATTATCTACTATACTTATTGATTATACCAATATCAATGTAATTTGTGAACACATATTCATATCTATACAACCCAATCCCGACTGTATAAAAATGAGAAAATTAAAGCAAATGCAATAAAAAGGAGAGTAAGAGTGGACCTCAGAAACAAGAATCTGGTTAACATCAGGGGTGTCAATTAATCGGGACCTGACATGAACACTCCCGACTTGTTCATTCCTGTTACAATTATCTCTTGCTATGAACTGCGGCTGATCACTCATTTTTTTATACTTGTATGAAATATAATCCCTGTTTTCAAAATCAAATCAATAATTTACTACTTTAATTAGTAGAGTATTCAAAATCAAGATTATAGCATAGATGATAAATGACAGAGTGAATACCTCGTAGTCAAAATGAAGCAACGATGTTTTGGTTTTCCGGCGCCACCTTGAGAGTTTGTTTCAGTCTGACGTGTTTACAGAGGAGGTACCACCAATCACCTTTGGGACCGCCGCATGCCCCCTTTGGCCATTTACTTATACTACTCCCTCCCTCAGGATCTTTGTGGGGACCACCTTTTTCTACTATGTACTCCTTCTGTTTCAAAATAAAGGTTACTCCATATCACGTAAATTACTTTTACCTACTCACGTGTTTTTGATTTATACTTTTATAGTATTGCCTAGGCATCTATTTAGGTGTATCGCTAAATTGTGCATAAAGTTTTATACAAGTGAAATAATCATTTTACATCATATCTCTTTTACGGTCTCTACACATCCTCACTAAATTGTGCATTAAATTTTATACAAGTGAAATACTACAATAGTATAAGCCACTGGAGTTGAGATATAAATAGGATAAAAGATGAATGGAATGGTATTTTATTCTAAAAACAATAGTATTGTGAGGATGTGTAGAGACCGTAAAAGAGAAAAAAACAATAAAATATATCAAAGGAGTAAAAAAATATCCTTAAGTGCGCCATATATCCGAGTGTATAATTATTTTCAACTTAAAAAAAAACAAAAAAAAAAACATCCAACATACTTTTTTTTGAATGGAACATCCAACATACTTTGTAGAAGGCAAGACGAACCGTTCTATCAAATCGGAATCTTGCACAAGTCAACAGTAAACTAAGCCTAGATTAGCAAACTAGACATCTAACAGAAGGGTAAGCAATCTCTACATAAGAGTATTTTTAATGGGAATCGAGCTTTCGACCTTAAAGTATAAAAACTGAAAAAGGAACTATGTGTCCTTACCACTATTCCAAACTTTTTTTTTTTTTTTTGAACGATTGAATATATTAAGTAGAAGAAAGGCCTAACATTCCAAACTTATCTTAATAACAAAGATTATATAACAAGAAAAAAATTGCAGCATACTGTATGGTTTTAATGAAAGATGCTTTAGATTTATGTTATGTTATGTATCATTCATTCGTTTTAAAAATTATAGTTTAGTCCACTTTTAACGGTTGATAACTAAAGCCCTACTTTCAAAGCCCATCTTGTTTTTGGTCAATTTTGGGTATCTTATGCTCTTAATCTATTCTTGGACTATTTCTTATTTTCTAACCACTTTCATCATCCACCCAATCGGTTCTACGAATCAAGTTATTGTTTGGTAATCGAGTACATGGGTGGATATTGATCAAAGTTCTTGCCTTTTCTTTCCTATTAATATATTATTTTATTTTTTTTTGGAAAATTAGTACTAGAGAAATACTATAGTAGCGTAACTAATATGACTTTTTTTTTTTTTTTTTTAAATTATAAAGAGATGACTCTAATGAACTACTAATTTCTTGAAAATTCTATTGTAGTCATCCTTAACATAACTACCATTATATTAATTTTTTATTGGTTGATTTATGATTTATTTTGTATGCCAAAATTAATTATAAATGTTTTTTCTTATTTTAAAATTTTACTTTTTATTATTTTATATTTTCATATTAATTTATGAATTATTTTTTAATTTTAGTAATATTAAAAACTGAATTTTGTAATTAATTAGGAAAATTATAAAAAAAAAAAATAAAAAATTATTTCAAAATTCATAAATGAATTTTAAAAATTAGATAAATGATTTATAATTAATTTTGCATTAAAAACTAAATCAAAATCAGGCAATAAAAAATTAGTACAATGGTAGTCATTTTTTTTATCATCTTTTGTGATTTGTATGTAAGAAAAAAATATAGTAATGTGGGACTTTGTTAGAATTGTTTCAATAAATGCTATAGCAATTTCTAATTTATATATTTTTTTCATTCATTGAGGATTAAAGATATTGATTGCTTAAGATATGCATTAGCAAACGTGTTATCTGAAGGTAGTCAATTTAAAAAAAAAAAAAACGGAGGAAGTATCAATTAGTCCACTTATACATAGGAGTGTTTAAGAGCATGAGAGATAAGACAATCTTAACCCTAAGTACAAGTGGATGGTGAGGCTCATATTAATGAGCTTAAAGTCACAAGATGAATAACTGACAATCACAAGGAAACGTACTTCATTATATACACTCTTATTTAATTAAGGTATTGATCCAACTTCAATTCTCATCTTTTTCAAAGGGTTTTCAACAAACTTTTTTCTAAGGGTTTGGTTGGTTTACCTATTGCAAAGAAATTAACGATTACTAATCAAACTTTTGTTACCTTACTATGTGTAAAAATAAATAAACTTTTTCCTTGGTTGTTTTGAAACGCATCACTTTTTATATTTAGAAGTTTCAATTTATATGTATCACTTTTCTTTTTAGCTAATAAATATCTTTCTATCTATCTCATATCACATGTATCTCCACCAACTTGTGACTTTAAAATCACAAGGTGAATTCCCATCAAATTTTAATTATTTTTTAATGGTAACTGTATAATTCATAAATTATTTTATGTACACCGTATATTATTATTAGTCTTAATTTACGCTTAGAATCTTGTGTGATTAATTGTGATTGATTATGTAATCTTGTATTCTTATTTAGATGATTCTATAGGTAGTACGTATGTAGAAGCAATCTTTTTTTTGGAATCGCATGTAGTAGCAATCTTGGAAGGGAGCAATAACTTATTGGGTTAAATACAAACTGGGAGAATTGAATTGGATAATTTGGATTCATCATGATTGGGTTAAATACAAACTGGGAGAATTGAATTGGATAATTTGGATTCATCATGATTGGGTTAAATACAAACTGGCAGAATTGAATTGGATAATTTGGATTCATCATGATTGGGTTAAATACAAACTGGCAGAATTGAATTGGATAATTTGGATTCATCATGTGATCAATTACTAATTTTGTTTTGCCACTAGTTTGGATAATTTGGATTCATCATGTGATCAAATTACTAATTTGGATAATGTGGGAAGAATTGAATTGGATAATTTGGATTCATTATGTGATCAAATTTCTAATTGGGATGATTACTAATTTGGATAATTACTTATTTGGAAATTTGGATAATTACTAATTTGGATAATTTCTAATTTGGATAATTACTAATTTGGATAATTGAATGGGATAATTTGGATCATGTGATCAAATTACTAACTTGGATTCATCATGTGATCAAATTTGGATAATGTGGGCATAATTGAATTGGATAATTTGGATTCATCATGTGATCAAATTACTAACTTGGATTCATCATGTGATCAAAATAATAATTTTGTTTTGCCACTAGGCCAAATTCTAAGTGGTACGTGAATATTACGGAGAACAATGACAATGAGGATTAAAAAAAAAAAAAAAAAACAAATAGTCCCCTAGCTGGCATACATGGGCCTATGAGAATTAAACTTGGGGCCATAATATACGATAATAACCTAAAGACTACTCCTGCACCGTAATAGTTAAAGGTCGATGTCCAACTTTTAATTATTATTTTGTTTGCCCATTTGCATGTTCTCTCCATTTTACTTTGAGTGCGTATTAAGACTTTTATTCAACTTGGGCCTTGCCTTCTAATCCTGGATAACTCAGCCCAACTCCAAACAATGCAACCCTATTTTCTACTTGTATCTTACATCATTAATCTTAGCTAAATTCAGCCTTTGATGGTAGAATTTTGACTATTATAATACGACAGCATATTAGAATTCGGATATGTTTTTTTGAATGGATGCTAAAACTTTAGGCTAACATGCATAAGCAATATTTTTGAGTGTTTATATTAATTTTGACTCCAAATAGTATTGTTATTTCTTGGCCTCAAACTCTTTTACAAACTCATGATTGGAATTTGACCTTGCATATATGTCACGTCTCTTATGTGTTGCATCGAATAATCTTGTAATTTTAGTGAAGTTCCAATGATGGAATATTTGATTGATGTCTAGCTAAGGTATGTAGTACTCTACGTTGCTAACGAGTTTATGGACCATAAAATAACTGGAACTAAATTGGACGTGTCACGTGTGTAACTTCCATTGAGCACTCTCAGTCTCCACTCTCCAGCACACACACGTCAAGCCCAACTTATTATTTGGAACACTACTTGTTTATCGCCTTTCACATTCTTATTATATACTTCCAATTTATCTTATCCTTGATGTGCATGTGCTCCAATTTCATTGCTTTGTGACTCCATCTACTACTATAATTACCCAACAATGCTCATGTCTCAATACTTGTTCATTTCTTTTTGGAAAACAAATTAAAGGTGTTTGTTGATGCTATTTTACAAACAAACAAATTGAAACTCTCATCTTTTGTACTCCAATTTAGAGTGATTTAAAAGTATTTCGCTTTACGTTACCGACCTCTTAAATGGGCCTTAACTTGCTAACATTACGTGTAATAACAACTATCCAATATTCAAGAAAATAAATAAATGATAACGAGAATAATGTTTAAAATGTACTTCATAACATTCAACTCCAAAAAGTAATCACAACTCATACATATACATTTAAGAAAATAAAAAAATAAAAAAAAAGAATTGGACGATCCAAGTTATTCCTTATGCAAATGATGTTGTAATGTCTTGTTTGATTTTATTACTCTTACCTTTCAATATCATTTTGACGGACTTTGTTCACCAAGATAATGCTAAAATTTTCAGCAATATTATTTTCAGTTCCCATGACAAAAAGTCGTGAATTGATCTTAATGCTCACCAGGAGAGTGGGAGTAGGCCCTTGGATTCGATTAACCTCGAATAAAATTAATATAAATACTCCCTTTAGTATATTATTAAAATTTAAATTGAATTATTGCTTGTGTGGCGTTTTCTTGCTCAATTGCCAAGTAAGAGCTGGCTGAAAGTTATTAATAAAACATAAAGAAAATCTAAAAAGAATATATGATGATTCCTAAGTACTCGTATGAAACAGGTCCTTTTTCCCTTAAAAAAGGCAATCCGTTATGTCGGTAACTAATTAGAGTGCGCAAAGATATTTGTGTACTCTAATTAATTAATAAATTATTAATGATAGATATAATGTTACATCATAAGTTACCAATCGCCCACAGAAAATACCAAACTGCAGGTGAACAAACCTTTCTCCTATGTCTTCTCTGTCTTGTCACAGCTTCCCATTGTTGAATAACTACTACGGAATACTGGAGTAGTAACGTATTATTTTCATCTTCTTTTTTATTATTAAAACTTGCATGTTACTTGCCTACATTACGTAACTTATTAGCTGCGCACTATCAAATTGTCACTCGCCACGGACATAAGTCACACAACCACAATATTTTATCAAATTACCCTATACGTATATTATTATTAAATGTCTCATCAATTGGTTGTTGGTACAGTGGTAATTGGGACTATATTTAGTAGGGAGAACTGCGTATTTGATCCTCCGCAACAACAATTGGGAGGGGAATGAAACCTAATCACCCAGAATTGAGTCCTAAATCCGAATTAGCCTAAAGGGTGAATTGGGTGGAACACCAAAAAAAAATTATATTATTAGATGGCTCAAGTATTAAATCAAGGAATAATTTTACATTATATGACTTACATTTAATGAGTAAATAGTGCCAATGAAAATGATGAATTTATTTATAACCAGATATTTTTCTTGTTCAATGAATTAGCTGAAGATAGGGATAAAAAGAAGAAAAAAAAAAAACAACTTAAACTAACCATAATAAGATGTATGCTGTTTAGCTTGTGCTTATTCCATACATTTTGTTTCCCCAAAATGAATAATTTTGCTTACTAATTTTATCGCAAGTAAATCTCACAAGAAGTTTTCACTACATACTACGAGTAGATGTGCTTATACGAGTATCAAAGTTTAACTACATATATCATGATAAGATAATGTTACACAAAAGTTTGCATAAGCATAGGCGGTTTTGAGCCGGAGCAAGGTGGGCGACGGAGCAGGGCCTTCAAATTTGAGGGGCCCCAAAATTTATATATATATGTAATTAGGTTTGGAATAATAACATAAAATTATAGATGGACTAGTGGTTTGAGTTAATTTGCTTCTTCTGTATGAGAAATCTCAGGTTCAAGCCCTAGGTCCAACAATTTTTTTACTTTTTGGGAAATAAAGTGAAATCTAGCATTGAGTAAGGTTGAGCTTTGAGCGTCCAAACATTGAATGAAGTTATTACTTTGTCTTTAGAATTCTCCACCCAAACCCAAAATTAGATCTTTCCTTTTTCCAAATAATTTTTTCTCTCAAAATTTTTTCAATTTATTATTTTAATTCCCAAAAAAACTCTATATCTTCCAAAATTAATTTCACATTTAACTAATAAAACTTATTGTTTAATTTTGACAAATTTTCTAATGTAATGAATTTTTTTAACAAAAAAATTGGGTATTTAATTTATTGAGTAGAGGGGCCCATTTTGAGAAGTTGAACAGGGCCCCATAAATAATTTGCAATTGTAGCCCCGACACTGTGCATAAGCATAAAGTTATATGCATGATTAAGAACAATATTACAATATGGAGTCTGAACCTTTTGGGAGCTCTTACCAGACACCTATTACATGAGTAAGAGGGGGATGAATCATGAATATCAACACTTACTACATTCTAGTTCTAGATCATTAAATCATACCAAGTAGGATTTCATATTTTACAAAAAAAACATGACACCCCAATCATAAACAAGTGAAGTATTTTAAGAATTACACTCACCTATTGTGATTATCACATACTCATACTCCCATTTCCCAAAAATTAAAATTGAATTATGAATTACAGTTAAGTTGGCAGTTGGTTTCCCCTTGCCAACTCCACACAATATCTTTCAAAGCAGGCCTTACATCCTCCTCACAAAACTTGACATACTCAAGTGTATCCCCTGAACACTTTGAGAACTCTACCACCGTGACCTCGGCCGCCACCTCGAACACCTCCGCCGTCATTAGCAACCTCCCTTTCCTCCCCTCTTCCCTCCCCTGCATCTTCAATTTAAACTCCTTCGAACTCACTTGAAGATTCAATTTCTTAGCCAAGCCTTCAAATTTTGCCATAATAGCCGAGGCAGAGCACTTGGAGGTAAACATAGACCCCGATTTCTTGTTATTCTCGAATAAGCTGGACAGATCGAACCCTGATGACATCGATGATATGAACTCGAAAGCATTGAAAAATCGCGGTGATGCTACTTTAGGGTCCTGATGATCGGGGACTTGTAGGGGTTGAGGCAGATAAGACGACAAAGGATCCTTTCGAAACCAAGGTTGCCTCATGATCCCCTGAATAGACAGCCTTCGATTAGGGTCAACCACTAACAGCTTCGAAACAAGGCGCTTACCATCAGGAGGGAACCAAGGAGGAAACTCATATTCACCCTTGAATATCTTCCGATACATCTTCATCATATTAACATCCTGAAATGGTAAATACCCTGAAAGTAAAGCAAACAATATTACTCCGCAAGACCAAATGTCCGCCTTCGCTCCGTCATAACCCTTTTTCGTTAACACTTCCGGGGCAACATAGGCGGGAGTCCCACATTGGGTGTGTAGCAGGCCATCGTGCCTAAGGTGCTCCGGCAAAGCCGACAGCCCGAAATCGGTAACCTTAAGGTTTTCATTCTCGTCTAGGAGAAGGTTTTCTGGCTTAAGATCGCGGTGTGACACCCCGCGACTATGGCAATAATCGATGGCACTAATAAGTTGTTGGAAATACTTTCTTGCATATTCCTCCTTGAGTCTTCCCTTGGCTATTTTGGAGAATAGTTCACCTCCCTTGACGTATTCCATGATGAAATATATTCTTCCCTTGGTAGCTAGGACCTCTTTAAGGCCGACCACATTTGGGTGCCGAACCAATCTCATAACCGAGATTTCTCTCTCAATTGCTTCCACCATCCCTGCTTTTCTCACCTGCTCTTTGCTGATCACTTTTATTGCCACGTTTTCATTCGTCGCATCATTTTTTCCATAGTAGACCTTGGCAAATGTGCCCTGGCCTAGGAGCCTTCCAACCTCGTACTTTCCGAAAATTATGTTCCTAGTAGGCGTTTGGCTCTCACACTCGTGATGTTCATCTATGTGTCGGTCCATGACATAGAAATATCGAATACAAGGTTTGAAGTTTGGTGGGAGAAATGAAACTTAACTTACTTTCCAGATAAATATGGTGTGATTTAGTAGAGGTTAGGGAGTGAAATTGAGGATTGGTTAATAACAAGGAACATTAGAAAAAGTATCGAATGATTGAGGTTTGGTGATGAGAGATAGGACTATAATACATGTTATGTGATTATTTGAAGAAGACATGATTATTGTAATGGGATTATCGGAAAGTGTAGGCAGTTGATTTGAGAATGAAGCTAAGCTAGGGGCAAGGAGCACATTCAAATAATAACAAGGCCGTAGAATTATAATTTGGACGTTTTATAATATAATATTTTAAGGTTATTATTTGGTGGGGCCCAAATGCCGTCACTTGTGGTTGTGGCTTGGCACCCAATGGTTGGTTTAGTGTGAAGATGGGACCCCTGTTTTTGTATGTAACACAATAATTATAGTAGAGACTAGAGTATTTTATGAGGCCTTGGGGATACTTTGGACTTTGGAGCGTCCCCCATAATGTTAGTTGTTTGTTTAATTCAGTTCATGGGCCCACCTCAATCATCGATAATAACATAATACTAAAACAGATATCAGAGTAACACATGTCACATTTGGTGCTGTTTTTACCCTTCAAAACTCCCCTTCCTTTTTAAACTTTAATCTTTTTAATTATTTTTTGAATTCTATAATAATATCATTCCAAATCTTTTATATTATCTTTTTGACAAATATATTCTTTTTACTTCGTGTTTATAATTTTTCTTTACACATTTACCTAAATAATTATTCCAATACCTTTTTAATTATCCTTTAAATGGAGTATTATTAGATTTTGCCAAAAAAGTAATAATAAATTGATTCATATAATAGATGTTAAGGAAATTACTTTAAAACATCACTTAATTTTTATTTTATTTTTCAAATTTCCTCTATCTAATATTTTATTTCAATTTCATTATAACTATATATTCAAATTAATTACAATTTTGTTCTGAAATTTTACTACTACGTATATATTATGCAAATTAAGAATACCAATTAACATATGTCTAATTCTATGGAAAGGTAAAGTATCAATTAATTTTCTTTGTAAATTACGTAATTAAAACAAAAATCGATATCATAGTAAAAGCAAAAAAAATTATTATCTTTTGCCGATACACTTGATTGAGATGATATATTTATTATTTCGACATTCATAAATAATCTGCATACTTAAAGACACGCAAGACTTAGTGACAATTGACATCTCCTTTTGTATCTTCTTTCCTTTTGATGTATATCTATTATCTACAATTAAACTTTTAAGAAAATAAACAAAATTGATTAAACTACAATTATTGGATAGCTTCAAACACATTATTTATAACAACAGAGAATGACGATATCGTATATGTAAAGCATCAATCCATAAATAGAGAATATAATAATGTAGATTAGTGTTGCCCAATTATTGATGGTTCTTGCCTTTAATGATCAGAGTAGTATTTGTTTCCATTGAAAAGATTTTTTGCTAATAGTTTTACCGGAGATTTTAGTATGTTGTTTGATTAATTTTTAATGTTGATTAAAAATGCATTTATAAATAAGTATTTACTAATATGGCCACTAGACCTGATCAAACCAAGCCTCGCCTGAAAAAATCTCGGGTTTGGGGAGCTCAAAAAATCCATTTTTGTTTAATTTTTTGCTTTCCCTATTGATATAGACTATGACATTATAATTTCTATATATTTGATGTGTATGTTTCATCAAATTTTTATTTGTTGGATATAATTAATTTTCTTAAAAATTTTAGACTTAAATTACCATACATGGCACGGGTCTTAAGCTAATTGCTACATCATATTGGAGCTTCATACAGAGTATTGTTATACACTTCTACTCGTACTATATTTGTTTGTCTCAAATGATTTTTCACAAAATTATTTATAAAGATAATGAAATAATTACAAATTAATTGCATGACTATATTATTGTATATATTAGTGATAATTTATCGTTAGACTTCATAAAACCTAACCCATAAAATTAGAATGGAGCAAATAAATAAGGACAAAGGAAGTACTACGTGTCAACGTATATAATTTGAGAGTCATTAAAAAAGAGTAATTAAACAGGCTAGGTGATTTTTTTAAATAGAGTTTTTAGGATTTTTTTTAAAAATGAAGAAGATTTTTACTGTGCAATCGGTTATACCTTATACAGAGTAATATAGACTTAAATCGATACTACCTTCGTATTTAAATAAACGAAACGATTTGACTTTTTACGTAATTTATTTAAATAACTTTGACTAATATAATGTTTGTGATTTATAACATAAGAATAAATATAGTAGGTACTTGTTAGAAACTTCTCAATTCTCAATGAATAATTTATCATATTCAACTTTTATAATTTTTATTTTTTTAGTCAAAGTTTTATATTGATATGCGTATACAAGAGAGACGTTTCACTTATTTATATACGAAGAGAGTATTTTTTATCTTGTCTGTGTGGATATATAATGTACACTTACATTCTCCGTATACAAAGAACTATCATCACTCGTACAATATTTAAAGTATTATAGCCGATTATATGAAAATTGTATACTATACCAGGGTGCACCATGCTCATGGTACACCTGGTGTTAAATGATGTGTTTTTAACATTTCATTTGCAAGCTGTCAATTTGTTACTTAAAATATATATATATATATATATATATATATATATATATATATATATATATGTAATATATATATATATATATATATATATTACATATATATATATACATATATATATTACATATATATATATATATATATATATATATATATATCTTCCACGATTCATGGGATTTCAACGTGATATGCTCCATTCATAACTTCCAAAAAATTTCACCATATTTCAATTTCAAATTAAGAGAGAGAGAACAAAGTTTATAGTGAATTTTGTAGAAAGAGTAATACAGAGCAAAAGAATGTCGTACCAATCAGAATCACGCCATGATTTTAATTCTTTATTTGTTGATAATGCTCAAGATAATAATGATATTGACAATAATGGTGAATATGAGGACATTGTAGGAGAAGGTAATTTAATTTTATTTGTTATGATTTTAATTTCAAAATTTTGCTTATTAGGTTGATTTTATTTCGTTATTATTTTGCACGATTATAGTAAAAATATCATTGTGTTTTTTTTTTCAATTTTGATATTTATAAATTTGAGATCCATATGACAAAGGTTGAAGATGATATTCTTTATATATTTTTTTTTTCAAAGGTTGAAGATGACGTTGTTTATATATATATTTTTTTATTTCAAAGGTTGAAAATGATGTTTTTTATAAAGTGTACTTATGTTTGTTATTATAATTATTGAACAACTATATGAATGTTCTTTATTTTTATCCCTTATGTTCTTGGATTGGATGTTCTTTGATTTATTATGTATGTTCTTTGAATTATTATAACATTAATTTTAATACTATATCAATTATTAATTCTATATTTTTTTTAATATTAACTATCATTAACTATTTATATATATATTTTTTAAATCAGGATCATGAAGGTTGATGACGATATTCTTTTGAGATCTACTCTATTGATGATTGTTTTTCAGATCTAAAGAACATCCCTAATTTTATTAAAGAACACGATAATATTATCTAATGAACATAACTTATATATATTATACCTACCACGATCCAAAGACAAAATTCAAGGATCATTTCATAATAAGCAATGAATATTATATGACAATAAAAGTACATTGCAATTACAATCAAGGAACATGGACATTTAAAATAATCTATCAAAAGATCTAATATAATAAAAAATCATTATATGATATATGATTGAATATATGATAGATATTCTAGTTATATTATGTTATAGTAGGAGATATATTTTGTAAATATCTTTTGAGTTTACCTAACGTGATTAGAAGTCATGATTGTAACCCTTTATATATGTATCAATGGAATACACTCCAATCTGGGGAGTTTAATAAAATCTAATATGGTATCACAACTTTAGGTTTTTCGATCTAGCTCCCGCAATTTTTATTTATTTATTTTTTTGAGTTTTTCACCTAGCCGATTTTAAAAATTAATTGTAAATTACAAACAATTATAAAGTACATCATATTTTCTAATAAAGAACATTATTAAAATACATATAGAACATCACAAGAAATATATAAACCGAACCTACAATGAATGTTATAACTATATATATATAATTGGTGAAAAATTTGAACGAAATAAATAATTTGAAAGCTTAAATTTTGAAAATGAAATTTAATAAAAAATTGAATTTTGAAATTTAAAAACGAAATCTTAAATTATTTTTGGGAGAAATAATTTTAGAGAATAAAAAAAAAATTATGAGAAACTGCATTTTTTGAGAGAGAGCGAAACTGATTTTGGAAAATGATAATTTTTGAAAAGATTTTATCCGTTAATGTGAGTCATGGGTAGATCTTTTCCCACAATGAAAGATCTATACGGAAAAAATCTTGCGTTCTTTTTATCTTAACTTGATGTTCTTTAGAATATGCATGTTCATTATTTACAAACATGATGTTCTTTCCGCTTTTTTCAAGCTTATTTGGTGCCGACGTTTTATGAAGAAGAGGATGTCGTTTTTGCCCAGGTGTACCATGCGCATGGTACACCCGGGTGTATAGATCACGAATTACCGATTATACATTAAAAACTGTCGTACGCGCGCTTTGGAATCTTTGGTTATGTCGGAATTCCAGAATATTTAGGGATTCTAATGCTACCCGGTCGTTTGCTTCACAGTTTGCGGAGATTATGGATTCACATACAGTCTTTGTCAACGCGGATGCTTATGGAAACACCCCTTCTGCTGCTAGGGGTGATGGTGGTGCCTCTCCTGCGCCTGGTTTTTACATAGTTCATCTTGGACTGGTTAACCAAGGGAGTGCTTTACTTTCTCTACAAATAGATGGTTCTTGGTTTAAAGATACTCAACGAGCTGGGATGGGATGGTGTATAGATAATAGTGACCCGATGATCGAATCATTGGCGGCGGTAACTTTGAGGTTTGTACATCAGCTTTACATGCGGAGGCAATGTCATGCATGTATGGGTTACAATGGGCTTTTGATCAAGGCTTTTATTCCCTCACGGGTTTTACTGATTCTTATAATCTTGTGACCCTTCTTCGAGGGGATGGTCATGGTAACGTTGATTACCTTTGGCTCATTCGTAAGATTAAACAACTTGGATCAACCTTTCAGTATTGTAGTATACACGAGGCTGATCGTCAACGT